CTGTGAAGTATTATCCTTACAATTTTACAATTAAAATGCGATGCATCATGTAGAACGCCGAATTAAATTCAAAGGACATTATGTTTCAAATTCCATAGATATTATCAAATTACAAAGTATTAACGAGGTAAAGAAAGTAACTGTTATTGAAACATGTTTTCTTTAATAACTTTTTAACAATTATATAATAGCTTGTTTACTTGAGAATTTTATCTAACCATCATATTGCAAGTAACATGAGGACTTTAGTGAAACCCTCATACTATAAGTAACTTGAGAATATTTGTGAGGTCCACATACTGTAAGTAACTTGATAATATTAGTGAGGTCCTCACACTGTAAGTAACTTGAGAATATTAGTGGGGTCCTCATATTGAAAGTAACTTGAGAATACTAGTGGGGTCCTCATATTGAAAGTAACTTGGGAATTTTAGAACAATCCTCATATTACTGTTGACTTACAAAAAGGTTTAGCGAAAGATACCTAATAAGTTCATACTATCATTTAACAAAGTTTTTCCAAACCATTTCCAAATCCCACATTTACTATAGTAAATATCAAAGCATCTGTTGAAGAAGAAAGTACAGCCACTAGATACAGCGTTCTCCGCCTTGTTTCATTAATTGGTGTAAACGTTAGTAACTGGAATGAAAGCTTAATAATTATACTAATATTAACGCTTATGCTCTTATATGGGTTTGACCCTATTCTGGTAGACTACGTTAATATTTGAAAGGTGCTATTAGTACGCTGTAAGATGTCGTTTTAGTGTTTATACAAGTTTTCAATTATTATCACTTTTATTATGAAAATATTAAGAAACTTGTCACTTGGTGTATTCGATTATTTTACTTTATTTTGAACTTGCTAATAAATTTTATTCTTCTTTGGAGATTAAAAACTCATAAGGATTTTCTAAAAAGAAAAGGATGACTTGTTTGTTTAATGAATTTCCCGCAAAACTACTCGAGGACTATCTGCGTTATCCGTTCCTAATTTAGAAAGAATAGACTGGACAGAAAGAGAAAAGGCAACTAGTCTATCTCTTGGGCTATTCTAATCTAATATTGGGATTGACCGTTACATTGTTACGCTCCCATGGCTGAAAAGGCGAGTATATGAGGCAATGGGATTCGAACCCGCAACTTATAGGTTGCGTATCGAGCGCCCTAACCATGCCAGGCCAGGATGACTTATGGTTTCTTCGTATTTCTAACTTAAAGTTAGTTATAAAAAATATATCTGTTTGTTTTTGTAAACATGCAAATCACATAAAAACATTACTTTTAACATAAATTTATAAATTTCGCCAAGAGTATGATTACTCTGATTTTAAATAATTTGCTAGTAAAAAATAGTGAAAACTTTGTCTGTTTATTTCAGAATTATTACGCGCACAAAGCAATGTATGTATAAAACAGTTTCTAAACCTCAACTGATAGACTAGATCCAACGCCAATTGTTGGGCTGCTATTCTCTGACTGAATAGTTTAATCTGATCTTTACTCTTACAGGTCACACAAATTCCCAAAATGCAAAGCACGTTTAAGCAGCAACAGAACGCGAACCATAAACCTCAGATTCACAGTCCTGGAATGCTAACCAACTAGTCCATGCTTAACCCAATCGAGAAGTATATTCGTTCGTTTGTTTTATAAAGTTGTGTTCATAAAGAAACTGGGTTTTATTTCTTGAACGTCAAGGGTATCAGATTCCAACACCCAGCTACACTGATGATGCTGAGGATGTGTGCAGCTAGAAATATTTTTTCGTCATAGTCACCCTTAAGTTTGATATAGTTCATACACTGTTCCATGGGGTTCATCATATCAGTTCGGTAAATTGCAGGTGTTATGTTACAAAGCCAATTGCGTTCGGTTGTTTTAAGAACACTAGTCGTTTGTAGATGTTGATCACATAGACTTTCCTTAAGAGGTGCCTAGAATCAAAACATGAATTGTCACCAAATACTATTATAATCACTGGGCATACACACAGCTTTTTCACTTTACTTTGTTAAAAACTAGATCGTAGTTATTTGTATGTAATTGTACTGTATGCCACCTATCGTGAAAACACGCAATTTAGATTACCTTAGCAGCTGACGGATATTAACCTTTTAGCATAACCATTCATTGGCAGTAATTTACTTATCTAATGTATAGGAAAAAAAATAACAACCTTGTTTCTTTCTGTTTCTCCCAATTTTCTGTAGCTGCGCTAAACGTGTGCATTCCTGTATTCACTAGAACAATTTTATATCAGTCGGGATTTTGTTCTTGGATTTAAAGACACTTTACACAAAATTACTCGATGACACATCTTCTCGTGCTATGGGCTTACCAACTGACTGTTTTTACTAATTACATCTCTGACTAGAAACACTCTGCTGTGTTATTTTGTTCAGTAAGTTCCTTGTAACACGAAGACATATTAGCTTCAATTATTTTTCGTATTCCATTTTAATTTCTTCTGTTATGAAAGTGTGTTAGCTCACACTACTTCTCATCTAACCTATATAAAATCCAGTGTGTGTCACGTCACGCCACATTTCTCGAAATAGGAGTCATAAAAGCGAAAATGCATTTATCAAGATAGAATAGTTCGATTACTGGCTGCCCATTACGATTTTAGTCAAGGAGTGCAAGGGGGCCGTGAAACATTATAAGTATAGTGAGTGTTGGTATTAGTCGAAAGTAACGGACGTAGTGTGGGATCACATAGCCTATTTTCTCATACGTCAAAATATTTATTGTAATACGAAACATGCGAGTTCACACCATTTATCGCATTTCATTATGTTTCTTATAACATGAAACATAACAGTTCATACTATTTATCTTTTGACATAAAACACACTAGTTCACACTATTTATCGTATTTCATTTTATTACATATTTCATCAACACGCTATTGATCGAATAAACTTTTGTTTTTATTTTAAATATTTGGAATTTTTTGTAGGTTTGTTCCTCAAAATCAGTGTTACTTCATAACTTCAGTCATAACAAGCTAAAACATCCATTGTAAACTAACAATTAATGACCCTATCATAAATGTTTTGTGGTTTCCCAATGTATATGTAGTGAAAGATGGTCAAAATAAACGAAATCACTTAAAATTTCAAACAAACGATTGCAAAAACAACGAAAAACCAAGCAAATGTTATATACAAATTTAGCGAACTTTATAACACATAAATAGATAGACTAGTAAGAGCCGTCCACTAACCGTGAGCCCGGTTGATGCAGGCGCGGTCGGCTAGTTCGATTTCCACGTGTCAAATTTCCGGAGCCGAGCAAATTTCACTGTACGAATCCATTTTCAGTCAAAGGATGTCAGGAGCACGAGGCGCTCTCGATCTTCCCTTTCGAACAAGAAAATAAATCGATATTTCGCTATATTACAATTTCAATTAAGTGAGAGTGTAAATGTGAGATGGTTCAATCATATGATGTACTACAGGAGAAAGAATAGCCACAAGAGACAAAAAAGTTTAATATAATATCAAATAAAGCTTTAAAATATACCGAAGAAACCGCAAGAATAAAAAAATACAAAACTTATTGCGTTTAATAGATATGTAAAACATCAAGCAAATATTTGTTTTGTAGTTTCATAACAGCTTCTATGACAAATTTTTAGCTTGTGCAGAAACGAGAAAGTACATAATCTCATGCTGGAGTTTCTTTGACTATTTCTCGACTGTTTTGTATGAGTCCATCTTTTAAGACATGCATATTTTTAACAAAGACAGTTCTAGTTTGCTGTAAAAACTATGCATAAAACAGCCAATCTGTGTAAACGACACTTACTGACTCAGTCTACGTGAAAGTCACCTATACAGTGTCAATCTGAGTGATTATATTTTGTACATGTCATTCTGCGTAAATGCCACTTGTACAGACTTATTATGCGTGAATTTTAATTGTACAGAGTCAATGTGAATGTACCAATTGTACAGAGTCAATGTGAATGAATGTCACCTGTACAGAGTCAGTCCGTGTGAATGTCGATTGTACAGAGTCAGTCCGTGTGAATGTCGATTGTACAGAGTCAGTCCGTGTGAATGTCAATTGTACAGAGTCAATGTGAATGAATGTCAATTGTACAGAGTCAGTCCGTGTGAATGTCAATTGTACAGAGTCAATGTGAATGAATGTCAATTGTACAGTCAGTCCGTGTGAATGTCACCTGTACAGAGTCAATGTGAATGAATGTCAATTGTACAGTCAGTCCGTGTGAATGTCACCTGTACAGAGTCAATGTGAATGAATGTCACCTGTACAGATTCATTCTGCGTGAGTGTAATTTATACAGGGATAGTTTGATACAAGGAATTTTGTTGTTGTTTGTTTGATGTTAAGCACAAAGCTATACAGTAGGCTATCTGTCCTTTGCCCACCACGGGTATCGGAACCCGGTTTCTAGCGTTGTAAGTCCACAAACATGCCGCTGTGCCACAGGGGGAGGGGTGATACAAGGAAATCTTCAATTTTGTTATTATTTCTTAACTTTGACATCTCAAGATTTGGTTAGTGGTACACTGGCTTAGCCAGTTAACATTTTCTTTCGTCTTTTCGATAATGATATCTACATTTCATTCAGATTTGTGTTCTTTGAAATGCTTATGTTGAATAGTATCAGGATTGTTTTGTTAAAGAAAATTTGTAATTAATAGAAACACTTTGCGTTTCTCCATCACAAGATGGCGTGGAAACATCGTATTGCAATTGGTTTCTATCGTGGGAGTTCTTTTACGTTATTAAGAAACGTGTAATGTAATGACACTCGCGCCCTTGTCAGACGTGGTGTGCGCACGCTCGGCATGTTTACGGACTGACCAATCAATGGCTGAGAAGAATGATTTATCTCTTACTGCAGGGAACTCTTGTATCATGTACCGCGGTGACGTTACTGCTATACGTAATGTAAAGTGACGTCACTTTACACAAAATAATACTTCGAAAAAGCTACTAGTTGCTCAAAGACGAACAATCTCATGACTAGTTTGTGCTTGTAACAATTCCTTGGAATAGAGAGTCAAAACACCCTAAAGATACATCATAGTTGTAAGTAGGATATTAACGTTTATTTATGTTTCTTGTAAAAGATAAGCTTCTATAATTATGTAATATAGTTTGTTTGTTTGTAATTAAGCACAAAGCTTCACAATGGGCTATCTGTGCTCTTACCACTACGTGTATCGAAACCCGGATTCCAGCGTTGCTACGTCTGCAGACATACCGCTGTGCCACTGGAGGGGGGGGGCTTGTAATATAGATAGACAGATAAAAATATAGATGGAGAACGAGAAGATAATTTGTTGGATAGTGTGATTAATAGATGAATGGTATAATAATTTAAAAGGGAAGTTAAACTGAAACTATCTTCAAGCAAGATTAAAACGACAAAATATTTGATAACTGAATAAAAACAGCATTCATCTACGGTTGTCACAAAACGATTGATTGAAACAATAAGTATTTCTAAGATTATCTCTTTTGTTGTATCATATGTAGGATTTAATTTCTAACGGACATCGTGTTTATGGAGTATATGCATTAATATACTATCGCTCTCTCTCGCGCGCTCTTTATCTTTTTTTTTTTTTTACTGAAAATAATAACACAATATATTCTGTTTGTTGTTAAGCTCGAAGCTACACAACAGATTATCTATAATTTTCTCACCACGGGTATCCAAACCCGGCATTTTAGCATTATAAGCTCTCGGCTTATTGCTGAGTCACCGGGAGTAACATGTTGAATACAACATTATTGTCATTCTTTATTTCAGCTACTTAATAAATCCATATTAATATAACAGTTCCGGTACGTACTTCTTTACGTTAAAGTTTGATAAATGCAGGGTTTTGATATTGGAAATATTTAAGAGTAATATACATACAATTCCTATATATATATATACATTGACTGAGTGTGATGGTCTACCTACGTAAAAAGTTTTGAACGCACTTTTTAAACTCACTACTAGTAATGAACAGTTTTAAATAACAGTATTTATTTCCAACCAAAAATCAGCAACTGTCAAACAAACATTTTATAGTAGGACTATTTTATATTTTCGTAAAAATTATGTTTCAAGATCATCAATTGCAAAAAAAAAGGAATAAGTTACATTAGATAAACGATGGACTGTCCTTATAACATTATGGTGAGTTTTGGATATTCACAAGACTTTAGTCTAACTGGCATAATAAACAACAGTGTAGTGATACAAGTTAGAGAAATTGTTTAATACATTTGCCATAAGAACATTTTCCACAACAGTTTGTGATTAAAGTGAATAAATAATAGTTAATTCACGCCCCAACGAGCATATTCACCAATAGTGTAGTTATTAAAGTTAGAAATCAATGCTTAAAACACGTCCTATCGAGCATATTCACCAATAGTGTAGTTATTAAAGTTAGAAATCAATGCTTAAAACACGTCCTATCGAGCATATTCACCAATAGTGTAGTTATTAAAGTTAGAAATCAATGCTTAAAACACGTCCTATCGAGCATATTCACCAATAGTGTAGTTATTAAAGTTAGAAATCAATGCTTAAAACACGTCCTATCGAGCATATTCACCAATAATGTAGTTATTAAAGTTAGAAATCAATGCTTAAAACACGTCCCATCGAGCATATTTCATGATAGTATAGTGACTAAACTGAGAAAACGATGCTTAACATTACGTCCCCAACAATCATATTCTGCAATAGCGTAGTAACTAAAGTGAGAAAACGATGCTTAAAACACGCCCCAACGAACGAACGTATTCAACATTATTGTCGTGATTAAACAGAGAAAGTTATACTTAATTAAAGCGAGAAATTAATTCTTTATAGCTCATTATTTCATTTCTGTAGTGCATATTGGTGTTTAAAAGGCATTTTAATAGTAATAATGAACGTCCTTATAACACCAAAGTTGTTATTTTTCTTTAATTGGACACTCAACGTTTCGCTTTACACTTTTAGTAGAATGTTCCTGAAGAAGCTGTAAAGCGAAACTTTGAGTGTTCAGTTAAAGAAAAATGTCAAATTTGGTTTCATAAGGTCGTTTATTACTAATATTAAAATTATTTGTACCTATTCCAAACGAACACATTGAACAACAATTTAGTGACTAAAGTGAGAAAACAATGTTTAATACATGCTCTCCAACTGCTTGTAGTTAGAACACCTGATCTCTTTATGGTCGCTAACTTTTGTCACATTCAAGCCTATGATCTCAACCTTTTCTGGCTTACTTGTCAGTGTGAAACTCCATTTTCCATCTCATACAGCCTATTAGGAAATGAATTGAATTTAAAATTGAATTTATGGATATTGGTGTCGGCATTAAATTTTGACTTGTAGGCAATATCAGTTATAACTCACTATGTCAGTTTCTTCAGTGTCAGCGTTACGTTTTTATTTGTAAGCAGTAACGACTGTAACTGATGGCATATCATAACATATTCTACTTTGCTTTCGCTCAACGGTTCATAGAATTATTAGTTTGTTAAGTGTCGGCATCATGTTTTGCCTTGTAGGCAGTAATGACTACAACTGACCTTATCAGTTTCATCTGTGTCGGTGCTATGTTTATGAGTTGTTTTAACGTGTGTCGAGAAACGGTTTGCCATCCAATTTACGAAGGTGTTTCAAACATTAGAACTCTACGACACATATGCATGTGCAGTACGTTTCCAAGGTATAAGATATACATAATTTTCATGGGTATACTGATAAATAAAACTGAGTTGCTAAGGGATTGGTATATCATCTTCATGTGAACACCGATGAATAACAGTGAGTTGCTAAGGGTTATAGCACATCATCTTTATGAATAACATTGAGTTGATAAGGGTTATAGCACATCATCTTCATATATAACATTGAGTTGATAAGGGTTATAGTACATCATATTCATATATAACATTGAGTTGCTAAGGGTTATAGCACATTATCTTAATGAATAACATTGAGTTGCTAAGGGTTATAGCACATTATCTTAATGAATAACATTGAGTTGATAAGCGTTATAGCACATCATCTTCATGAATAACATTGAGCTGATAAGGTTATAGTACATCATCTTCATATATAACATTGAGTTGCTAAGGGTTATAGTACATCATCTTCATGAATAACATTGAGTTGCTGAGGATTATAGCACATCATCTTCATATATAACATTGAGTTGCTAAGGGTTATAGCACATCATTTTCATGAATAACATTGAGTTGCTAAGGGTTATAACACATCATCTTCATGAATATTATTGAGTTGCTAAGGGTTATAGCACATCATCTTCATATATAACATTGAATTGCTAAGGGTTATAGTACATCATCTTCATATATAACATTGAGTTGCTAAGGGTTATAACACATCATCTTCATGAATATTATTGAGTTGCTAAGGGTTATAGCACATCATCTTCAGATATAACATTGAATTGCTAAGGGTTATAGCACATCATCTTCATGAATATTATTGAGTTGCTAAGGGTTATAGCACATCATCTTCATATATAACATTGAATTGCTAAGGGTTATAGCACACCATCTTTATATATAACATTGAGTTGCTAAGGGTTATAACACATCATCTTCATGAATAACATTGAGTTGCTAAGGGTTATATCACATCATCTTCATGAATAACATTGAGTTTGAATATCGATGTATAAATTTTTATATTCCTACGGAACTGATAAAGAAGAGAGTCGGAAATGTAACGATTTTTTATTAAAAAATAGAAAAATGTGTAATATTAGAGATGTTTTGGAAAAGAAGAAGGAAATGTGGTAATAGTAGTTGGTATTCATAATCTATAAAACGAAGTTCAGTCTATTCAGCGTCTATGAAACGCAAACCAGTGAACATTATGTTTGCTTTATTCAGTGTTATCTTACTGTTATATATAGATTCTAATTTCCTCTCCGTTGTGAACATATAAGGAAGCCACCTTCCTAGTATTAATCACTACAGAATTAACGCATGTTTACCGCTTGTAAAACGTGTTTCCTACAGCAACATCCTCTGTGTTAAAAACAACATTTAAGGTGGGATCCTAATTATTGCTGTAACGTGCTTAAATAACAGTTGCATGTCTGTCAAAATACGAAAAACAAAACTGGTGACATTGGAGAGTATTCGCGGTTTTTTATTTATTTTTTCATCAAACTGTATTAGCCAGGCTTGTAAGCACTGTCGTGTAATGCCCTCTGTAGTTAAAAACAATATTTTTACACATCTCAATCTTAGTACCTCCACCTCAAGGGTAGATTAGCCGTAAGCTTGAGGGTTTATAACGCTAAACATTGGGATTAGATATAGGCGATGGTCACATCGCAAATAGTCTGTTGTGCAGTTTTGCGCTTATTAACAAACTGACAAACTTAATGTTAGTATATTCTGTATTATATACAAAGACACATTAATTCACAATCGAAATTTTCTTTAGTAAAATTTAATTCGCTTAGATAGTATTATTAATATGAATGGTCTTATAAGTAGCAACAACCTCATTAAAATAGGGAACTGGGCAGTATGGGTAACAAGCGAGATCACTCATGCGGGTTTGCTTAATGATGCTAAAACATTTCTTATTAATAGGGGGAGCAATTAACCCAAGTGCTTTTCTTCACAAACATGGAAAATAGGCGACTGAATTTCTTCTAATAATTTGAGGATATTATGAAGTGAACACATGTAAACTGCTAGTTTCGAATTCAGGGTAAAACAAAACCTTTCAAACCGTTGTTCTTTGGCATAAAGAATCAGTTTGCACTCTTTTTATTAAGAAAAAAAACAAACTTGATTTGGAGTATACTCAGACCTTTAAATTAACAAAATTATGTTAACCACAAAAGTTGAACGAATTGTTTTCATCAAATAGTATTTCTTATTGTGAAATTCTGGACACCTAGTTTTCTATGAGAAACAGATTCCATTGTAACAAATTTTCATCATTCTAATATTTGGTAACTATATTTCAACAAACACATATTTCAATGTAGTACTATTTTTGTTATTCTTTAAATAGTCCGTGATGGCCAAGTGGTTAG